TCTGCAAAAATGAGTCAAGTACAGCAAATCAATACTTCATAATGTTGCCTGTCCTGTTACTGAACTCAACTGACTTCATCTGTTTCCAGATAAAATGCTGCTCAGTTCTGCACTCTGTAACAATAATTACAGTAATATACAAATGTCCTCTCGTGGACCTTCCAAGGCAGCAAAAGGGTTCCAGTTAAGATTGGATCCCAGCACTGGCTATTCATGCTCAAGGGCAAACCAGGGAATTAATGTCATATATGGTTTGGGACGTGGTGGCTCAGTGGCTAAGACACTGAGCTTGTCGATTGAAAGGTCGGCAGTTCAGCGGTTTGAATCTCTAGTGCCGTGTAACGGGATCAGTCCCGTTACTTGTCCCAGCTTCTGTCAACCTAGCAGTTCGAAAGCACATAAAAAATGCAAGTAGAAAAATAGGGACCACCTTTGGTGGGAAGGTAGCAGTGTTCCATGCGCCTTTGGCATTTAGTCATGCCGGCCACATGACCACAGAGACGTCTTTGCACAGCGCTGGCTCTTTGGCTTTGAAACAGAGATGAGCACCGCCCCCTAGAGTCAGGAATGACTAGCACTTATGTGCGAGGGGAACTTTTACCTTTTACCTTCAAGGTTTGGCCCAGAGTCAAAATGCTCCTTTTGAGCCCTTTCCATCTACTCAGATATTTGGGTTAACAAATAGTTGCTAAAGTAGAATGCATGTTCAACTTAATTTAGAAGTCAAACACACATGCAAATTGTTTCAGCAGTGAAAATCAAGCTGTTCCTAGGCAACTTTTAAGTTCCTAAAAAATCCAAATTGTAACAAATAACTAAGTCCTACTATCCTGACCTTCTAAGAAGGGCTTTCTGGGAAAAGATATTGAGAAAACAGTCTTGTGGAGATTTCAGTGGGCCTTGGAGGAAACTGCTTAATAGACAATTAATCTAGGCATGGCATAGGGCCTGGATGTCTGAGTGACTGCCTTTGTGGCCACTTAGCACATTCCATCAGAGTGGATACACTCCAAATTCTCTGTATTAATCAATATCCTCTTACAGTACCAAGAAAGCATGCCTTCTCTGTCATAGCCCCGGCTCTAGAACAGATTCCTTGCCTGATATAGGGACAGCACCTTCTCTCCTGGGGTTCCAGAAAGCTCTTAAACCTCAGGTTAATCCATTTTGAGGCCACTGTGGTTTCTTGTTGTATTATGTTTCATTTAGTCTAGACTGTCAGTATTACTTTTCAATTGGTTTTGCTGGTTTTGTTGTTGTTGTTGTTTTATATGCCACAAAAAAGTCTCTTGGAGTTGGGTAGTTACTACAAATGTAAATAAATAATAGTAAATAGGCTCTTTTCAGTATGGTTTCTGACCGGTGGTGGGATTCAGCCAGTTCGCATCTATTCGGGAGAACCGGTTGTTAACCTTCTAAGCAATTTGGGGAACCAGTTGTTGGAAGAAATCTTATTTTGTTTTTTTCCACTTTACAAGGCTAATCCTGTAAGGAAGGCAGGAAGGAACCATTCTGGTGTTCTTTCTAGCCTAATCTTTATTGCCCTGCTTACAGAAACTGCCTCTCTGGTTAACCCTTATTACATTGTAACAGCTAAGGGGAAGCACCCATCAACGTGAATGACGTTGAGTTGGCCACGCCCACATGGTGACATGACCACCAAGCCACACCTACCCAGCTGGTCATTAGGGCAGAGAACCAGTTGTTAAATTATTTGAATCCCACCACTGTTTCAGACTAGGGCATACTACTGAGATAGTACTGAATGTGCTGCTTGATAAGCTCTTGTAAAGTCAAGATAGGAATGTAGCAGCCATCTTGGCTCTTCTTGATCCATTAGCAGCTTTCATTACCAACAATCATGGTATCTTTCTGGATTGTTTACAGGAAGTAAGAGAGGAGGGCATAGCACTGGGGTTATTCTCCTTTTTTCAGTTGTCTGTTTGAGTCATTGCTGATAAGTGGGAAAGAATGAATCCAAAGCTTTTGGTTTGTGGAGTACCACAGAGCTTTTGCCTCTTCTGTTTAACATCTACATGAGGCTGATGATGCTGGGCAAGGTCATAATTGGTTTGTGGTCATGTGTTATTACTACTATGCTGATTACACCCAGCTGTAGAACCTTGTCTGACCAAGCGAATCAAGTCAAGGCCTTGTCCCAGAGCCCAGACGCTGTAGGGGTCTGGATGCAGAGGAAAGACTCAGGCTCAACCTTAGCAAGTCCAGGTAGACATGGTTATTTAGATCACTCATTCCAAGAAGTTGTCTATCTTTAATCTTGAATGGGGTTGCAGATGGAGCTGTGGTCAGGAAAATCTTTGCACATATTCATTGTATGCCGCTTGAACCCATTCCTGGACTGAGAAGACCTTTGAGCAATCACTTACACCTTAGTTACCTCATTGTCTTCTATATGGGGCTTCCTTTGAAGATCATTCAGAAGGTACAGCTAACCAAAAAAGTGGCAGCATAGGCAGTGACTAGTGCAGCTCCTCAGTTCAATTTCTGGGTACAATTCAAAGTGCTAATAATCACCTATAAAGCCTTTCTTGGAATAGGGCCTAGTTATCCGAGGGATCGTTTCTGTTTGTCCTGTAAGGTTTGACAGACTTGGCATTCTTTGAATCCCACTGATTAAACAACACGATCTGAAAAGAGCCAGGAAGAAGATTTTTTTTTCTTCTTCTTTTTTGCCACAATGGCTGTTCTCTGGAGAGATCTACATGGGTCTTTCCCTAATCTCATGGAAATGGGCTTCAAAAACCTGGCTCTTCTCCCGGGCCTTGGACTCAGGTTATTGTGAACTTCTTGTGGGAATTTTTTGTGTTCAAGTTCTGTTTTTATAGTTTTCCATGAATGTTTACTTATTTTTGTAGGAAATTAGCACTCACCCCTCTCCTAGAAGAATGAACTATTTTAGCAAATATTAAAAAGGCAGAATATTATATTTCCCTGGATGAGAAATAGAGAAACATATTTTAAAGACAGCAGCTTCCTGCCTCCCCCCACCTTTGTCAATGGATCATCATCTGCAACACAATAGGACCCATCTAACAACAGAAATTCACCACATGGCACCTGGGAAGATTACATCAGCCAGCAAGGCTAGCTAAGACCCCCACCCCCTGGAAGTCTGACAACCAATCAGGATACTCTTCCATGCCCCAGGAAGTTCAGAGCCCAGAGAGGGCATAAAACCCAGGAACTCTCAGCATCTCTTCCCTTTTCTGTTCAGGAACTCAAGCCATGTGATCCTGTCCACCATTAAACCATCTTTCCAAGCAGTCTCCATGTTTCCAGTGTCTTTTTCCCAACTTGGAACTGAACCCAGAAGGACATTTCTTCCAACATTTTTATTCTATATGCTATACTGTTTTGAACTTTTGAACAATACTCTTTTGAACAATTACACCAGAATTGTTATGGACCATTTTAGAAATCTAATAAATGAATCCACTTTATATTAGCTATCCAATCTCATGTTCTCCTAACTTTTCTCAAAGCTATCCATTCATTTTGCATTTGTCTCTCAACGTATGGCTCTATACTTCTTTGTAAGTCTCAAGGGAAACATTTATAAGAAATTAGCACAGTGTTTTGGTAATTTGCACATTATTTTGCATCTTCCTTCTCTGATATACTTATATACAAGGATCTTTTCCAGTTTCTTTCATGACTTATATGGAATATTCCTGAATGAGCTATACATTTTCCTCATGTAAAAGAATTTGGATTTTATTTTTAATTTTTTTTAAAAAAAGACAGCCATTTAAGGAGCTTGCTTGCTATGTGTAGTGTTTTGTCTCATGTAAAAAGTGTAGAAAGTATTATTCAGGCATGCTAACTAAAACCACTCATGGAAAGAAAGATACATCATGACCTGGAAGGCAAAAATTCACATGCCCTTTCCATACACCTTTCTTTGACCTGCTGATATTTTGCCATACTCCATCAGGGCTCTTATTCTTTCAAACCATTTTCAGCTTCTATCTGATAAAAATGTATGGGCATTAGTTTACATATTTGAACTCTCCCTCACTTTAATTGCTGCTGTGCATTCTACACATGTGCAAAGGGCAAAAAAAAAAAAGATTGCTGTTATAAGTTTGAATAATCTCTGAAAGAGGATAGCAGCTCTCCGACCCAGTTGTGGGAAAGAGATAATACTGTGCAAAATGCTGGAAAGCTTCATCTACATATAAATAGACTTAATCAGAAATGCAAATAGCAACTGGGAGACCCCGTAAAAAGCCCCATGATAATTGTGTGATTGTACAGATAAGAAAGGGTCAAATATTCCCATTGTCTAAGGTTTTAATTTTCTAATTGCCGGTGGGTATCTTTTCTTCTGAAAGCAGAACACAGAAGTGGCAGGCTATTCCAAACTGCCAATCAGTTTAAAGTAAATCATTCAGAAAGCTTATTTGTTATAAATGTCCGGCAATTAATTCATACTTCACAGTTGTAATGCCCTGTCTTTTGCTTCCTGCCAGGAGAAACAGTCTAAACAAATCTTATGGAAGAAAGTGTAGGTTCCTTGTACTTTCAAGTATGCTTAGAAATAATATCTTATTTTCTGTATGAAAATAAAAGAAAGAAGATAGAAACAATAGATGCTGTTGATCCGGCATACTTAAAAAGCTTCTATTTGAACCATTCAACCATTCTTCTTTCAGAAGTAGCTCATTAAAACATTGTATTTTTTGGAGAATTATCTGCCCTTGTTGGGAAACAAATTATTTTTGAAATGGTTTGCAAAAGCTAAATAAGCAAATCATATTTTTTTAAAAGAACCTTCAATAGTAAAAAATCCAAATATTCTTTTTCTAAAAAATCTTGCTGCTTATATGCAGACCTTCTCAACAGTAGCATCTATTTCTACATATCTTCCAATTAACGTAATGTAAGATGTAATGATGCACCAAATAGGTATTTTCACTGTTGAATTGATGTTGTCAGAGCAAGCAAGATCCAGTAAGCCAAGAGAGCCACCTAGTGCCCTACCTTGGGATTTTGAAAAGGGTCTTCACAGGATGCATGTCAAACAAAGGTGGATCTCCATCACCAAGTTCAATAGCCGTGATCCCAAGAGACCATACATCACAACGGGCATCATAAGAATAGTCATATTGTTGTTCACAAGCAATAACCTGTTAGATAAAAGACAATGAACACACCACATTAACCTCTGAGACAGTAATGTCCCCATTAAGTACGAATTATACACATACCCACTGCCTTATTACCAGTGTCCATTCATATATTTCTTATTATGGTTACAACTTAAATGCTCAACTAGCAGTCCTACTATTTAATATTACCCACAGAATGCAATTCAGGGAATTAAATTCATGATGCTGAACATTACAAGAGATTATAGCAATTGAAATAAATTCTATAGTTATTCATTATATTTCCATTTTAAGCGGCGTTATCTTCTATCCCTATAACTTACATATATGTAAAGCAGGGGTGAAATCCAGCAGGTTCTGACAGGTTCTGGAGAACTGATAGTGGAAATTTTGAGCAGTTCGGAGAACTGGCAGCAGAAATTTTGAGTAGTTTGGAGAACTGGCAAATACCACCTCTGGCTGGCCCCAGAGTGGGGTGGGAATGGAGATTTTGCAATATCTTTCCCCCAGAAGTGGTGAGGGAATGGGGATTTTGCAGTATCCTTCTCCTGGAGTGAGGTGGGAATGGAGATTTTGCAGTATCCTTCACCTGGAGTGGGGTGGGAATGGAGATTTTGCAGTATCCTTCCCCTCCCATGCCCACCAAGCCACACCCACCAAGCCACGCCCAGCCCACCAAGCCACGCCCACAGAACCAGTAGTAAAAAAAAATTGGATTTCACCACTGATGTAAAGGATAACAAAAGTGTAGCTTTTCTATAAGTATTTATTATTGTTATGTACACAAAATTGTGAGATCACAGGTGCTAGTTCTTTAGCTGGTGTTTAGCTGGAGTATTATTATTTTGAATGTATTAGCATCCTAGCTTCAGTAAACTCTTATAATAATTGATTACCAACAAAAGAACAAAAAAAAATCTCGTGGCATCTTGAAGATGAACACATTTATTATGATATTGAACTTTTGTGAATCATACTTCATTTCAGCAGTGGTATGGAAAATGAAGCTGAGAAAAGTATATCCATGCTCATAATTGAGAAGGCAGAATAGGGTGTAGCCCTTATTTTTATACTATGGCTCTTCTTTCTAACATCACTGAGATTATTTCAAGAAGTCACAATACAGATGGAACTTATTAAGAGAGTGTTAAGCTGCAATGTCCTGGAAGAAATGACCTTTGTAACTATGGATGTTGATAGACAATAAGGCTGTAGTTTTCTCACATGATGTTCTCTGTCAAAAAGGGTGTCAGGCCTGGAAGCCTGTTACTTGGTTACTTGGAATCCTGACAAAGGGCACATGGTACAGCATACAATTATGGTTTCCAATTCAACGCTAGCAAGTGGGATTTACAACAAAACCAAATTCTGCTCCAACCATTGAGACTTTCCCTTCTTCAGACTACGCCACTATATAACCCTCCTGTGGTTTTCCACATTTTCTCCCAATTGTCACACTTCATTTTCTGCCTATAGGGAATGCTATTTCAGGGATTTGCCCATCCATAAATATATTGTTAAGTTAAATGTACTTCTATAAATTTCAAGATTGTTCTTGATGTTTCCTTTTTATGAGTTGGGGAAAACATAAATCTAATTTATAGACAGAAACTTCAGTTCACTAGTAGCATGTATGACTGATAAGCACAATGAGAACAATCTATAAGAAAGAGAAAATGGACAGCAAATCTAATTAATTAATTGAGCAATAAACAAATTAACATATGCACAGCTTAAAAGATTTCCAGTTTCGGAAGGAAAAAAAGGGGGGAATGGCTAAGTCAGCACTTTGCATTGAAGAGCTTTTCTCAACAAGCACTTCACAACTTTAGAAAAGGCAATTGTTAATGTAGCAGTTATCATCCTGGACATGTCTCAGGAGGAGATGCTTTGGAAGAAATGGAGAGGTACATAGAGAAAAAATTGCTTCCCAGGACTCAGGAGTGGTTGAGATAGGTGTGCTGAGTTGGGGCTATTTAAAATTCAGAGGGATCAAGAGGTGGATTTTTTGTTTTTGTATTTTACAAAATCACAAGTCATCATTCAGACCAGATTTGTCCAATCTTATGCTTTCAGTGAATACCAGGATTATAACTCTTAGGGCCTTTTTCCATTATTATCTTGAAAGACTTTCCACCCAACCTTGACCTGAACAGAAATCTACATCAGTATGACATTTGCTGTCCCCATTGCTATTTTACCTCAGCTTCTTACAACCATTCAAGATACCTGTTTCCCTGAAAATAAGACTAGGTCTTATATTAATTTTGGGGGCTTATTTTTGGGGAAGGTCTTATATTATGAGCATCCTGAAAAATCATGCTAGGGCTTATTTTCCGGTTGGGTCTTATTTTCGGGAAAACAGGGTAATAGGTGATGAAACCTGACAAATGTTATACTCCTTTAGACTGTCCTTGGATGGTTTCTGAATAAGGGGGGAAATGCTAATTTTAGCATTGGTACACTCTAGGACAACCTGTCTTCTCTGATCTGGGATGAGACAAAGGCAATGATGGGGATTTGACACTGAAAAGATGCTCTTGGTGCCATGGTTTTTATTTATTTTCTACACTTCTTAACTGCCCACGTCCCACAGAGGTGGTTAGATGGCTAGATGTACATGGGGAAAAGGCCTCACAATTCTGCTTAGGAAAAGCTGGTTTATCTGTACAACAAATTTAATAACCCTAATCTCTTAAAACTCTACCAGTTTGGTTACAGGAATCAACATTTTACTTTTTGACACCACTTTCAGTAATGTAAGACCAAAAAGTAATATAATATTGATGTGTGTAATATACAGATCTTACAGTACTGTCATGGCAATGGAAATAAGGCTTACATGGATTGATGGTTAATGATGAGGGAGAATTGGAAATTAACATATAGATTGATACAAAAACAACAAAGAGATTGGTTCCAGACAGCCTATAATGGAGAGGGTATAAGTACTTCGCATGGTCCGAATCTCTAGGAGGATAGTTCTAAAGTGCAGATAGCACATGGTGGCACAAATGATCCTTCAAATATTGTGCAGTGTATCAAATCATAAAGATGTGAATTAGGCTCTAGAAGGCAAAGAACATACATCTGACATTCTGTAGGCCTACAGATATCAAAGATGGAATATTATGACTAGGGAACAGGAGGTTTGTCCTATGTGAGCCAGTCCACTGGATCAGTGGTGAAATCTAAATTTTTTTACTACCGGTTCTGTGGGCGTGGCTTGGTGGGCATGGTGTGGCTTGGTACGTGTGGCAGGAAAAGGATACTGCAAAATTTCCATTCTCACCCCACTCCAGGGGAAGGATACTGCAAAATCCCCATTCCCTCCCTACTCCTGGGGGAAGGATATTGCAAAATCTCCATTCCCACCCCACTCCAGAGGAAGGATACTGCAAAATCCCCATTCCCTCCCCACTCCTGTGGCCAGCCAGAGGTGGTATTTGCCGGTTCTCTGAACTACTAAAAATTTCTGCTACCGGTCCTCCAGAACATGTCAGAACCTGCTGGATTTCACCCCTGCACTGGATGGAAGGAAGCTGGGGGTGTAAAGAGCTATGCATTCTGAGGGAAACATTTCTGCATTCATGAGGTTAATAATCAAGTAGCTGATGAGATATGGAAGCTTAAAGGTAAAATAAATTGACATACATTATTATGTGCAATGTATATTATGGGAAAAATAAATCAATTCTGACAATGTTAAATTCTTATCCTCACACTAAGAAAAGCAGCACAGCTAGCCAAGTTAACCAGATACAATGCTTTGTCAAAAACTCTTGGCTTTCATCAATTTAATTTCATTTACTTATAGCACCAAGGGAATATTCTATATATTTTCTCAACTATATTGGGCAAAAATGGAAGCTATTATTAAAAGTTCTATAAAAGACTAGTAAACTATCTTCATATTTCTAGTTTGTATGAATTCCAGGATGCTATAGAACTTATTTGACTGTCTGAAGAGATGCTGTCTTTTGCTTTCCCATAAACATTTTCAGGATGTTTGACATCAAATTTAATATTAAAAGAGAAACTACAGTGTGCTTTCTGTTTTCAAACTCTAATTAGAAACATGGTGTTTAATGTAGGAAGTAAAGAGGGGATGTGGGAGGGGCCTCTCTTTAGTTGCCATCCTGGGCTGATCTGAAAATGATACCCAAGATCAAATCTATTTGGTACTTGGATTAGAGATCACCAGGATACCTGTAGATTAGACTGGGAAATTGAAAAAAAAAAAAAAACACCAAAAGAAGCCAATGGCAAAGAAGATATTTAGCATTGCTAAACAAAACAGCCCTGACATGTCAATGTGCTGGTTGAGGATTAAGCTGAGTTCATGGATGGCCTAATTCTTATCTTTACCCAACATTTTAATCACCATTTTATACAGTTTCACTGTGTGTGACTATTTTCAGATACTGAATTTATTACACCACCACTCCACCCCTAACAGAAAAATATAAGAATTATAACCATGGACTAAATACAGGAAATTTCCTTAAATTTGTCGCTCATTTCTGAAGAAGAGCTGAAGAAGCTTCTTGAAGGAGAAGTGAAACGTCTTCAAAGAAAAACCAGAGAGTCCAGTTGCCTCTTGGGGTGTGTGTGGGGGGGGAGAGAAAGGTTAACATAGTCACTAGGCGCCCCCATGTGGACATTATGAAATCTGCCCAGAGATTGAGAAGAGCCTGCCAGAAGTTAAGATGCGTGGTGAGGTAATTAACTTGAACCAATCAAAACTGCTGATGTAACCTGGCGATATCTGCAAGGTATATAAATCTGTAGTGAGGACATGCAGGGGGTGCTTGCCTTGTGACTGTAATAGCAAGCATGACTTTGCTTCTATACAGAAATGACATTCTAAACACGTTCCCACATACCTCCATGACTGCTCACTTGCACTAGGTCAGGGGTGTCAAACTCGTGACAACACATCGTCACGTGACGTATCACAACTTTTTTCCCCTTTGCTAAACCAGGGGTGGGCGTGGCCAGCGCATGACTCATCCGGC